TTTTGTATGGGGATCATTAGGGTTACAATTGGAAAAGAGTCTTTGCTATAATCTTTGTTTGGACTGTTCATGTTTGCCCATCAAAGACATGAAATATATTGATTATTCGTTGTCTAAATTTCAGAAGAAAAGGTTTTATTGTTCCCCTATTCTTGCAACAGTTCTCATTTTTCTTTTTCAAGGCTTTAATGGGCAAGAGAATAAGAATTGCAAGGAGGGACACCAAGCAATCCATTCGAAAGTGGGGGAAAGGAAATTTGTAGATCAGATGCAACCAAAGAATGATGAAACAAAGCAATTACAAAGTGGAATTAAGAGAAGTCTTCCTCTGGTCAATTGGCTTCCTAACCATACAATGATTGATACAGAAGAAAGACCATATAAATCCATGGAGTGTGGAAAATGGTTTAATAAATTCGATCATCTCATTTCTCATGACAAGACATATTCAGAAGAGAAACAATTTACCTGCATGGAGTGTGGAAAGACCTTCTCTTACAGTTGCTATCTTATAACCCATCAAAGGATCCACACAGGAGAACGACCGTATAAATGCATGGAGTGTGGGAAGACCTTTACTCGTAGCAGTCATCTTAAAACCCACAGGAGGATCCACACAGGAGAAAAACCATATCAATGCATGGACTGTGATGAGACCTTCTGTTATTATAAGACTTTTATAGTCCATCAAAGGAATCACAGAGGAGAAAGTCCTTATATATGCATGAAATGTGGAAAAACCTTTACTTGTAGCAGTAGTCTTAAATCTCACAATTTGATCCACACAGGAGAGAAGCCATATCAATGCATGGAGTGTGGAAAGAGTTTTAGGAAGAGTGGTAATCTTAATTCCCACAAGAGGATCCACACAGGAGAGAAACCGTATCAATGCATGGAGTGTGGGAAGGCTTTTCGTCAGAGTAGTAATCTTACCTCCCATAAGAGGACCCATACAGGAGGGAAACCATATGTGAGAAATGATATAAGTTTGTTATAGTTATTCCTGCAAAGATAAACCATTTGGACTCCATATTTAGCCTAAGAACGAACCAAGATAACATGCTAAGTAACAGGTCTTATTTTTGACGAAAACATGTTTATTCCTGATTTTGCAAGAACATTGTTGGCAGGGCACATAATAATTCTTGGGTCATTGGGGGATTTTTGGAAGGTCACCTGTAGAGTTGTAATTGCAGGAATGTTCCAATCTCGGATGGCAAACCTCAGATAAAGAATGTTTCCAAGCAAATACAACTCAGGCAAACAAAGTCACTAATCTATGGATAAAGGAGGATTAGAGAGGGGAAGTAGACATATGTTAGACTTAACTAGAGATAATTAATTGTATGGATTACTGTACTAAACAGTAATGAAAGTTAAGCAGTAACCAAAGTTAACCAATGATGGAGGATAACTAAAAATGTATATAAATGCAAGACTATACTCCAATAAAGATCATCATAATTCAGTTGTGCATGATCAACTCGACTGCCTCGACATTACAACAAGTGGCGCCTGAACAGGGACCCTCTTACTTCGTCTGGCAAGGATTTGGTGCACCTTCAACCCTTTGTGGTTTCTTCAACCATTTGGTTTCTGTAAGTATGGGGTCTTCGCTTTCTGAGGAACAAAGGAAGCATGTAGATGAATTAGGCTATTTGTTGAAGAAAAATAATACCGAGGTACCACAGAGAAATTCTTAAGGCTGGTCCAGGAGATTGCAGCTCAGTGCCTGTGGTACCCAGAAAAGGGGTCTTTAAGATTAACTGATTGGGAACGTATTGGAAAAACATTGCATGCTGAACCTCGAGCAAAAATAGAAGTTTTGCACGTGTGGCATTTATGTAGGCATGCAATTGAAACATTTGGTTACAATGAACTTTCTCTTTTAACACCTCCACCTTCACGTTATACTAATGCTGTCATTTGTCCCCCTTCTTCACCTGAATATATGTCTTCAATTCCCTCAGCTCCTGCAGATACAGGGCAAAAGCCTCCTGACTCTATTGTTCAGTCCTCTTTTCAGAAAATGTTTGAGAATTGTATAAAGGATGCCTCTGTCTCAGGAACAGAACTTGCAGAATTACTGTCTGTTTGTCCAGTACAATATCATCCTGGTCAGGGGCCACAGCTTGGACTGCAAGTAGCAGAATGGGAGGGTCTGCCTTATCAGATCTTAAGAGAGTTAAAAAAGGCAGTTACAGACTATGGGATTAGTGGTAATTTTACAAGAGGACTTGTAGAAGGAATAAAAAATGGTTATACAATGATCCCTGAAGATTGGAAGCAAATATTTTGCATGATTTTAACATCCATGCAATATGTGGTTTGGGAGAGTGAATATATGAGACATGCTCAAGCTGCTGCTTTAGGAGGAGGAGGAGCATATACAGTTGAGCAGCTATTTGGTTCTGGACTGTTTGGTACAATTCCTACTCAAGTTGTTCTTCCTCCAGCTACGTTAACTATTGTTTCTGAATGTGCCTTTCGTGCTTTTCTTAAGGTACCCCAAGCTGGAGAACCTAGAGCAAATTTTTCAAACATTCGACAGAATGCCAATGAGCCTTATGCTGACTTTGTTGAGTGTCTGTCCAAAGCAATTAGACAGCAGTTTGATCAGGAAGCTGCTGGTGAACTTCTTCGCCAGTTAGCTATTGAAAATGCTAATGCAGATTGTAAAAGAGCTTTACAGCCGTTAAAGGCTACTGCTCATTACACTCTGGCAGATATGCTGCGAGTCTGCCAGGATATTGGATCACAAACTTATAAAATGCATATGTTAGCAGCTGCTATTCAGAAAGGACAGCGACCAATTGGTAACTGTTTTAAGTGTAAGAAGCCTGGCCACTTTCAGAAAGACTGTCGTTCTACACCTTCTATGCCTCAGAATCGTCCTTCTAAGAAGTGCCCTATTTGTAAAAAGGGATTTTATTGGGCCAATCAATGTCGGTTTCGGTAAGGAAACTTGCCAATGGGTGTGGCACCCACCCAGAATCCAAAGCGTGCCTTTCCCATCACTCTGACTCCTCCAGCAGTCTCTCTCACTCCTCCCCAGCCACAGCCGGTAGCGCTGGGATCGATTTAATCACTCAAGAGGAAATTGAGTTTAAATTTCCCATGGAAGTTAAAATAGTTCCATTTCAATTTAAAGGTCCTCTTCCTTCGGGATTAGTTGGCTTAATTTTGCCTCGTTCTTCTGCACATAAAAAGGGCTATTTTGTTGTGCCTGGGGTAATAGATTCAGATTACACTGGTATCCTCATGATTCAGATTTGGGTGAATCTTCAAGTTCTTCCTTGTAATTCTTCTGTTGCTCAATTGCTTCTTCTTCCATATGAAATTCCATCTCCTGGTATAGGTAATCGTGTGGATGCAGGATTTGGATCAACTTCTTTATCTGTAGGCTTACTTCATCAGCTGAACTCCTCTCGTCCTTTGTTAACGCTCTTCCTTAATAAACAACCATTTCAAGGGTTACTGGATACTGGAGCCGATGTTACTGTCATCTCCTCTTTACAGTGGCCAGTACAGTGGCCAAAAATGAGTTTCTTCATTGTGGGGAATAGGAGGTTCTACAGCTGCTTGGCAGAGTGTTCAAGAAATTAATGTTACAACATCTGCTGGTAAGTCTTTTTTCCTACAACCATACATTCTAGATATTCATACTAATATTTGGGGCCGTGATATCCTTTCTCTTCTTAATGCCCATTTGATTCTTGATGATGGCTCTTCCTCTTAAATGGCTCTGTTCTACGCCGGTTTGGGTGGAACAATGGCTATTATCAAGGGAAAAACTCGCTGCTTTACAACAATTGGTTCAAGAACAATTGGCTGCTGGTCATATAGAACCTTCTACTAGTCCTTGGAATATTCCTGTTTTTGTTATAAAAAAGAAAAATGGGAAATGGCGTTTCCTTCATGATTTAAGAGAAATTAATAAATGTATCCAACCCATGGGTCCTTTACAATGTGGTCTACCAAATCCTAACTTAATTCCTAATTTTTATAAGTTATTGGTAGTTGATCTTAAAGACTGCTTTTTTACTGTACCTTTGCAGCCTCAAGACAAAGAAAAATTTGCAATTACTGTCCCAGTTTTTAATAATAGCATGCCCACAAAACGATATCATTGGCGAGTGTTGCCTCAGGTAATGCTTAATTCCCCTACACTTTGTCAATATTTCGTGGATAATGCCCTTCAACCCTTTCGGAATAAATTTTCTTCCTATTTAGTCTTATCATTATATGGATGATATATTGATAGTAGCCCCGGATTTTGATGAATCTAAGTTGTTAAAAGAGTTAACGGATATTGTGGCACAGCAGGGATTGTATATAGCTTCAAGACAAAATTCAAAAGGTAGAACCTTATACCTACTTAGGACATAGAATGTTGCACAAGTCCTCCATTCCAATTCTTCCTGAATTACAAGTACAGAAACCATATACCTTAGTACAATGGCAAAAATTACTTGGCATTATTAATTGGGCACGCCCATTCTTCTACATTACAACTGGTGATATGTTGCCCTTATTTCAGTCTTTGAAGGGAGCACAATCACCAGGAGATCTAGTTGTATTAACTGATCCTCAAAGAACATGTCTTCAAGAAATATTGAATAAGTTTAAGCATCGATATGTGGACAGGATAACATCCTTAACAATAGGACTTTGCTTAGCGATTCTTCCCACTGCACCCTTACCCACGGGATGTCTTTATTCTAATGCGTCCCCGCAAGCGGTCAACATTCATGAATGGATTAATTTGTCAGCTACTCCGCCTAGAAACATTTATCCTTATCAATCAGCATTAGAGGATTTGATTATTAAAGGTCGTAAACGAGCCTTACATCTTACAGGACAGGATCTCATTAGCATAGCTTTCACTCGTACAAAAGTTGAACATGAGCATTTGATGATGATTTCAGAATCATATCAGATAGCCTTTTCTCAATATGTGGGAAACTTGTTGTATTCTTTACCCAAGGATCCTAGAATAGTGGTTACTACTACTTTAAATCCGGCCTTTTCTTCCATTTTTGTGCGAAATCCTATTTCTAAAGCTCTTACAGTCTTTACTGATGGATCACCTACAAGGGGTGTGGTTGTCTGGCAGATTCAACAACAATGGTATTCTAAATTTACTGCCACGCAGACTTCAGCTCAACATGCTGAGCTGGCTGCTGTGATTTTGGCTTTACGATTGTTCAATGACCAACCTATTAACTTGATCGTTGATACTCAATATGTGTATTTAGCTATGCAATCTCTTCCCTTTTCTTATTGTGCTCTCTTTGGATAAGAATTTGTTATCCTTGTTTTTATCTTTAAAGAATAGTTTGGAAACTAGCTTGTATTCTTTGTATGTAGAGCACATTCGAAGTCATACTCCCTTTACTAATGCCTTGACTGAAGGAAATCGGAAGGCAGATGAATCCTTAAAGGATGTTGCGTCTTTGTTTGCTGATCCTGTTGCTAGTCATTCTTATTTTCATCAAAATGCCAAATCGCTTGCAAAGCAATTTAAAATTTCATTAGCTCAAGCCCGGGATATTGTCCGTGCTTGTCCAGCTTGTCAGCAACTGGCAGTTCCCTTTCCAGTGGGTGTCAACCCACGAGGAACCCAAGCTAATCAAATTTGGCAAATGGATGTAACTCAATTTTCAACCTTTAAGCCATACTGTTATCTTCATACGTCTATTGACACTCATTCACACTTCCTTTGGGTTACTGCTTCAAAACATGAACGTACTTCAGATGTTATTTCTCATTGCCTATCCTCTTTTGCTGTAATGGGTCGGCCTTCTCAGTTTAAAACTGACAATTGCCCCGCTTATATTAGTAAGGAATTTCAAACCTTTTGTCAGAAATGGAATATTACTTTAGTGCACGAAATTCCTTACAACTCTCAGGGTCAAGCTATAGTTGAGCGAGCTCATCGTACTTTTAAGGCATTGCTTCAGAAACAATTACAAACTGAGTTTGGCCCTTACCATCTGCGAAAGATTCAAAATCTCATTGCTGTAGCATTATATACTTGGAATTATTTAACCTTTTTAGATTCTCTTGCAGACTCACCTGTTAATTTGCATTTTCGAACTACTGAATATTTAGCAAGGCCTTTAGTAAAGTATCGCCAAGCTCCAGATCCAACCTGGAAAGGCCTACAC